AAGGTAGTATATTAGTCACACATGATATTTAGATATGCAGAGAAAATAATTTTTAGGGGGCCAGTAGAGAAAAAATTTCTGTTGTTCCCTCTGACTTTAATGTATCTGTGTCTACAGAGTGCCAAATGCAGGTGCCCTAGAATCACGTTCCCAGGGTCTCAGATTCACTGAATCACACAAAATGGCCACTTAGCAGATTATATTTTGCAAACTTGCCTGGATGAAAGAGAACCAGATTTACTCACTAAGATTATTTCACAGTCGTGATGTGATTCCTTCCGGCTCAGCAGTTAGTCCAACCATGGTGCTGCCTCTCTGCCTTCCCCCAACCCTCGATGCTGCCTCCCAGTTCCTCCAGCCCCAGAAGAACAACTTGCCAACCAAGCCAAACTCCCTTACTGCTAGAAGGCAGGGGTAGGGCTAAGACAGCACCATCAGGTCCTGTGCACTGTGAGCTTCTGGCCACAGGAGCAGAAGAAGCAGTCACATGTTGTTTTGCTGTGTGAGACCCTGTTAGTTAAAGATCATTGTTTGGTGGGAGAGTGATTTGGAGCACATTACTGAATTCCATGCTCATTGCTTCATGTATGCAATGGTTATATTAAGATTACCTATTCCCAGAGTGTGGTAATAATTAGTTGCTTAGAATAGAGCTGTGATATATAACATTCAAGCATTTGATTTATTGTTATCATTATTACCCTAATTGGCACCCATAGTTCTGTTTTCTGTGTCCAGAGTCATTTCTTCATGATGTAGAGCTTACTCAAGGCTCAGTTGGATACAGGTTTGAATCTTGGTTTTGCAATATACTTATTTTTTCTCTCCTTCCTCCATTCATTCTTCTCTCCTCGTTTCCATTTCTCTCTGTTCACCCTTCCACTTTTTTCTTATTTTCCTCCTTCTTCCTCTAACCTAAAAGTTGAGCATTTGGAGCTCTTTGTGTCAGGCTCTGAGTATTCCTGAAGAGCTTGATAGAATTCATAAATTCATAAGAAAGACTCTCACAGTCTAAAAAGGGTGTGTCATACCAAAAGAATACTGGAGTGCTGGCAGGGAACATCACAGGCACTGGTGCAGGGGACACTCACACAAAGGATGGGAGCTCTAATTCTTGCCTAGAACCAGAAGTCAGGAAAGGGTGTGCTCAGCTTTCCTTTAGCCTGGCTAGTGATGACTAAGTAGGTTTTCACTGAGATAAGGAAGAAATTAAGGCCTTAATTTTGTTCTTTCCCTCTTCCACCTCCAAACTAGCAAAGTATAAAGTGCCTAAATCTGAGATCTTTCCCCAGGCTACCTTTTCTATGTGAAAAGTCCCTAGAAATCCAAATTATTTAAGTCACTTACAAAATGGCACACAAATATCTCAAATAAAATGCACAAAGCCTGAAGTAAACTGTGAGTTTGCATTCTTCTGCAGAGTAATTTATTTTGTAGTTACAAAGTATATTGCCAGGGTCTTCCAGAGGAACTGAACCAATGGGCTGGAAACACATTTATGTAAGAGATTTATTATAGGAACTGGGTTGTGTGATCCTGTAGACTGAGGAGTTCCATGCTATCATGTCTGAAGCAAGTGAGCCAGAAAATCCCAAAGGCTTCGTGGGGAGATTGTTGGTGCAAGTTCCTAAGTCCGAAAACTCAGGAACCTGGAGCATGGACCAGTTCAAGCAGAGATGGTAGATGTGCCCCTCCTGCACCTTCTCATTCTTTTCAGGCTCCCGATGGATTGGATAATGTTTTCCCATATTGTTGATGGTGGGTCTTTGTTATTCAACCAACTAACTAAAATGTTAATCTCTTCTGGAAACATTCTTAGCCCAACTGAGTTTATACAGAAAATTAAACACCACAAGAAAGATATGAATCATTTGGTTCTCCAATATCTACCATGAACAGTCAGAAAGGAAAGAAATTTCCATCATTTTCTGCAGCTTTTCTTTTCTTTCTTTTTTTTTTTTTTTTTTTTTTTTTTTTTTGTCTTTTTCATTGTTTATCGGTACCGGGGATCGAACTCATGACCGCCTGCTTGCAAGGCAGGTGCTTACGCCGCTGAGCTAAATCCCCAGGCCCTGTCTGCAGCTTTTCTTCTCATCCTATTCTCAGTTATAGTTTCTCATGGGACAAAAGTAACTTTTGTTTGTGCCTCTCTGTCAGAAAGAAAAAGTGGGCACCAGTGCTTCAAAGGTTTGGCATTTGAATGGTGACACATGTTTGCCTGTCTGCCTTTTGCAGCCAGCAGACTGTGGTATAGTCAGGCTTCCTAAGACAGGGCCATAGATCCTGTGAAAAACTATCCCTTCCAGGTGGGAAGATTCAAGAAAGAAGGGAGGAAAGACTAATTTAGAGCCCTGCCCTGCCCCAGGGAGGTCACTTGAATCTGTGCATTGAGTTTTCACAGCAAGCAGTGATAGATAGAGCAAACTTCTGTCTCGGTCATGTTCTAGTCGCTGGGATCCAGCACCTGGCGCCCACAGCTTAAAGGAAGGCGGTGTGTTCTGGCTTACAGTCTCCTTCCTGATTAGCTGGCTTCAAGGAACAAACAAGATGCAGAGAGACACAGCAGAAGGAAAGCTGCTCAGCCCACCTCAGCCCACGGCATCAGGAGAGCAGGGAGAGCAGGGGGAGCCAGAGACCAGAATGCACCCTTCTGGGTCATGTCCCCAGTGACCACTCCTCACACACATCCAGCTACAAACTCATCAAAGGATGGATCCCATCCCCCATGATCTAATCACCTTAAAGATGCATGAGAGTTTTGGGGTGTACTTTAACCTAATCCTAGCACTGCCTCTTCAGAATACTCTGCTTTTACTCAGTGTTTCTTACCTGTCAAACACCCATCCATCCATCATTCATTCACCCCTCATCACTTCATAAATACTTACCAAGTCCCTCCTGTGTCCAGAAACCCATCCAGAGTCTAAGAACATAGTGACTAATGCGACAGACATGGTCCCAACCTTCTACTTGGCAGGATGCCTCTAAATTATCCTAAAAGTAACATTTGTCAAACTCGACTTGCCATTTCTTCTCCGCACCTGTTGGTCTTGTTCAACTCAGAAGATGACATCACCAGCACATAGCTACAAAACCAGGGATCAGGAGTAGTTCCTTGTCACCTATATATATTTCATCAGGAAGATGTCTTACTGGGTACTCCAAATTATGTATCAAAATTCTAGTCTTCCCATTGCAATTCCCCTTGTCCATGCCGCCTTTCTTGCTTGGAAATCTTCAGTGGCTTCTTTATTAATCTCTTGGTTTTTGTTTTTCTCTTCCTTTCTGTTTTCCTCCAATCCATTCACCACCACGAAGCAACTGTATTCTCTAAAAGAAAAAAAGACCAATCGCAGTGACATGCACATTACATAAAATGTAATCATCTTACATGTACATTCCAGTAGTATTTCAAAAGTTCACATAGAATTCTTTACATGTTAAAACTTAAACTCTTCTAATTAAATCGTTCCCCATCTTCCCTGTCCTTACCACTTGGTAAGTACCATCCTACTTCCTTTTTCGGTGTGTTCCATGTACTCTAAATACATTGTGAAAGAGGAATCAGTTTTTGTCCTTTTGTGACTAGATTATTTCACTAGTGTAGAATCCTCGAGTTTCATGCATGTTGCAGTGTGTGACAGAAAATCCTTCCTAAGACTGGATAATATTCCACTGCATGTGTGCACATTTGGTCTATTCATCCCTGATAGGTGACACTTGGGCTGCTTTTAGATTTTGGCTATTATAACTAGTGCTGCTATGAATATAAATTTTAAATAGAAATTAATGAGCCATCATGGCAGTGCACACCTGTAATCCCAGCATTTGGGTGGCTGAGGCAGGAGGATTGTTAAGAGTTTGCCACCAGCCAAGGCCAGCCTGAACTGCATACTGAGACCTTGTCTCAAAAAGACAAGAAAAGAAAGACAGAAACTGATATACTTCCCTTTTCCTAAAAGTTGTTAGTCTTTATGTAGTGCTGCTGTGTCCCACGGTTATTGTATCATGTACCCTCCCCCTGATGTCACAGCCCAGTATCCACACCACTTGAGCCCCCATAGAATTCTTCCTGGAAAGCTTTTACCTCTCTTTTATGAAGTCTGGCTTCTTCTTACTGCTCAGTATCTGGACTACTGAAATGAGCTTTCTCGGTAGTTTTCAACCCAGTCAAAAAGTCTTCCCTACCTTCCCTGCCACAGCTGGCCCTTCGCTCTCCACCGCCACACTCCTGTTTCTTGGGCAGAACTCCAGCATTGCATGCATCTGCTTGTTCTTTATGTGTCTTCCTAAGTGAGTTTCAGCTCATTGGAGGCTTAACTGCATCTAGTTCAGTCCACCTTTACTCCCAACAAGGTATTAGAGTCCAACATGCATAAGATGCCAAGAACATTTTATGGAGTAAAATATAGTATGAGCTTCATTTTACAGATAAAGAACCTGAATTAGAAATGAATCCCTGAGTTCATTACTTACTCAGGTTTACATATTAACTACAGAGTATATATTGGGTCCCATTTCTCTTCCTCCGGGGAAAAAAAGTACACTCAGGCAATCTTGTGCTCATCTGAGATATGGTACACTTTATTCATCAAAAGATCAAATATTTCCTGCTTTTCTTCTTCCATTTAGCGTCAGAGTAGTGGATTTCCTACTTGTGATATGCCAGGCACTGAGGTATTTTGATGCTAGATACAGAAATTAAACAAGATAGTTTCTGGCCCCAAAGTTTGTGTTTTGGTCGCTCCTCCGCACTGTAAATAGTTAGGATGGAGGATTCTTTGTGGTGAGTCTGTGCTGTGTGTTACAAAATATCTAATGGCATATCTGGCCTCTAGCCACTAGATGCCAGTAGTGCTCCCCCAGTTGAGTCAAACAAATATATCTCTGCACAAAGGACCGGAGCCTCCCTGATTGGGAATCTCTGATTTAGTAGGAGAGTCTTTACTGAGCCAAAGGTTTAATTTGGGTAACCAAGTGTCATGAGTGAGTACCAAACGCATCTTAGTCTTCACGCTGAACATCTGGGTGTGCTAGGATGTGAACCTTGGCTGAGTTTTGGACAAAAACTCCTTTAGGTGAAAATAGAGATAAAGATTCTCCCATGTAGAGGTGGCAGTATGAACAAAGTCCTGAAAGGCCAAAAACTTTGGGGGTGGAGCATAACTGGGGTCCCTGGCTACTAGGAGCTGAGGCAGGAATTTAAGGCAGGGTTCTACCTGCCAGGACTCTACCTGCCAGGACACATCAGCCTTGATTTTACCTTCTGTCCCCATCCTTCTATATACAGTATTTCTAGTTCATTAAAAATTACTTGTGCTTAACAAAGCAGATATTCAGGCTTTCTGAGGAAATCTGATGTCAACCCCAAGAAGAGCTTTTCTTGCAAGAGCTGGAGCACCCTCTGAGAACAAGTCCTGAATTATGCACTGAAATCCATAGAGAGGGACAGAGATGGGTTTTGAATTTCAGGCTTGAACTTTGCTCTGCATTTGATCATCTTTTGGAGTCTTGAATTTCAGGCAATGTAATTAACAAGTAAGCTGATCATCCACTTTGCTGGAGGAAGAATTTCATAAGCCTCTTAGGTGCAGGGGCTGGGAGGAATTGGGAGCTGAGGCTTCTGACTTCCGTGCTTGATGCATCTGGATCCTTAGCAGTCTAAAGTGTCACCTGTAACCAAGGCGGGATTAAGTGAACATGGCCAGAGCAATTCAGAAGTATTTAAATGCCAAAGAAATGAATCCCAAATCCCAGCAGAGGTAGAAAAACAAGAGAATTTTCTCATTATCTTTCTAATGTTCAACAACCAGGCTGAAATTTCGAGTCAGGACAGAGAGGCTGCCATTAATTCTGTCCTGCTTAGCTTATCTAGAATTAAGCTTCTCATATGCTGGTCTCCTACTGGGGGAGCAGAATGACAGTGTTGAATGTTTTGAGACCATCACTATAAAGTACTATCAAATACTGCAGTATATAAATCCTCAAACCTCATTTCAGTTCATATAAAAAAAGCACAAAAATCCTGTGGCTAAGGAAACTGTATCTCTCCTTTTCACACATGTCAACAGCTTTCTACTGCTTCTGTGGGAAGGAGATTATTTACCAATATAGTGATGACAGCAAGCATGTATTGACTGCATCTCAGATAGTAGGTACAGTACTTTATAATAATTACCTCATTTAGTCTTTTATCAAATATATGCAACTTAGGCTTAAGGTCATCAAGCTTGGAACCAGAGAGCACATGTACTGTAGGTCACATGCTCTTCTAACATGTCTTTACCTAAGCTAAGTCCGTGAACTGAGTCACTATGCTGAGCATTCCAATGTGACAAACAGGATGCACTGGGGCCAAATATAAACATTTTAAAGAGTGTGGCAGAAAAAAACATAGCCTATCTTTGGAAGATAGAGAGGTATCTGATCTCCAAGAGGGAGCACTGAGCTATAGTTGTAAAAACCAGATAGCAATGAGGTTAACTGAGCAGGCGGGAAAGGGCACTGTACACAGGAGGAGGTGTGCATGGCTGGTCAGGGTGGGCACAGGATTTGGTACAGATGGAAAGAGGGAACCACTTGGGACCAGGTAGGCAGGGGCAAGGAGGGAAAAGGGCCTGAGAAGTGATTGTCCCCAGGCACCTTTAGCTTACGCCTCTCAGACAGAATCGCCTCTGTGTGCATTGAGTTGACCCCTGTCACGCTGATAACTTGGAGTTTGTGGTTCCTGATATTTTCTCTGTCACACCCGTCATTCACTAATGCTGGTTGGGAAAGAGCCCCAATATTTTTCTCTTATTTCAGTTCAAAAAAATGGGTCTCAGTGGGCACTGGAATCTCTCTAAATTTACCCTGGGCTAGTTATGAATGAAATTCTCCAATCAAACTGCTGTAAACAGTACTGCATGAAAGAGAACAGGCTCTTCAGAAAAATACAGAATCATCCCATGCAGAATTGATATCCACCTGCTCTTTGTGCCCTCAAGTCCTGAGTGCCTGCTGTGTGCTAAGGTGGGGATAGAGAGTAAGCCATGGCACACAATCTATTGATCTGTAAAAACAAATGCAGTGTGACACTCTCTGAAAAGTACTGTAATTTACCCAGGTCACAGTGCAGAAGTTGAGAAATAGAGGGAAGAAATTAGTATTTATAGAGCTCTTACAAGGTGACTATGTGTCTGACTGTGCGTAAACTCTTTAGCAAACTCAACCTTGTAACAACTAGATGAAGCAGGTAGTACATATCCCTATATTACAAATGAGGCCACAGAGTCACAGATTTCCCCAAGGTCAGCCAGATGGAAAGGGAAGACATGGCTTCCAGTGCAGGGCAACTGACTTTTGGCGCAAGGCAATTTATACTGGAGTTATTATTAACTACTTTTTTGTGTACCGAGGCCTTGTTAGCAGTATGGCAAAGACCATGGACTCTTCAAAGTAATAATGTTGCAAATAAGTAAAATGTAATGTGCAGTTATAAAAACTGATTATATTGGAAAAGTGTTATCAATATAATTAAAAATTTGAGGCTGGAGATTTAGCTCAGTGGCATAAGTACTTGCCTGGCAAGCTCAAGGTCATGAGTTCGATCCCTGCTACCACAAAAAAAAAAAAAATTGAGATGTTGTCAAATATGTGTTTCTTACTAATGAACTTAATGGCAAGACCTACTGGCAAGTTGAAAACTCACATAAACTTAGAGCAGTAATGAGCCTAAACAATACCCTGAAATGACAGAAAATAGAAGCCATACCCTGAGATGACAGAATACAAAACTGCCCATAGTGGGCAGTCATACATATTGTTTTGGTTACTGTTCTCATTTCTGAAACAAAATACTTGACACCCAAAGTTAGAGAAAGGTAGGTTTCTTTTGCTCACAGTTTGCAGAGGTTTAAGTTCCTAGTCAGGTGGCTCCAAGGCAGGGTGGCCTGGCAGAGGGACATAGCAGAGGAGAAACTGCTCGTGGTAAGCAGAAGACAGCGGGTAGTGACCCTCTTTCTGTCCCTTGGGTCTTACCCTGCCTCCCCACCCTTAGGGCAGGGAGCACTCACACTCAGAGTGGGCACCCTCAACCTAGCATCACACCGTGAATCAGTCCCAGCATCATGTCCTTGATCTCAGCAGCACACATCCTACATCCGGCATCTCTGAAGAGCCCCACCTATTACTACATGAAGCTTTGGGGGTACATCTGTATACCAGCCATTACAAACATTAAGAAACGGATAGGATTTGCTGCCCACATGTGTTATTAAAAGAGATACTAGATTTTAACTAGAAGTTAGTAATTTAAAGATGTAATTTTTCTACCAAAACTCATGGACCTAGATTCCACTCATTGGGATCTGTTTAAGGACTGTCAGTTAAAAGTGACTGTCGTGTAGCATTTATGTCATTCAGTGCTGTTTGAGGACATTTGATAAGGACTTACTCTGAGTCTGGTGGACACCATGAAACGGTGAAAAGGAGAGACAGGAAATTGGGAAGTGAAGGGACATGAAAAAGGAGCAAATTCTTGTAGTATGCTATTGTAAGTAAGGTGTTTTCCAGTAACCCCTTCATACCCACAGGGGCTGTATTCCTAGAGCCCCAGGGATGCCTGAGACAGCAGGCAGCACAGAGCCCTGTGCATGATTTATTTTTTTTTCATGTGTGTAAATACCTAAAACAAATTTAAATTTATAAGTTTGGCCCAGTAAGAGACTAGTGACAGTAATTAATAATTAGCAATTACTGCTATATTGTAATAAGTTACCTGAAAACGTGCTTGCTTTCTCTCATGAATTATCTCAGTTCCTCACTGCACTGTGTAATATTCTGAGACAGTGGTTAGCAGCAGGTAGTTAAAACTGTTCATAGAGCGAGATTGCTGTGTATGCTACATCACATGTAAGCTCCACTTAAGCATGTGAGCAACTAGAAGTTGAGAAACTGGCCTAAAATTGATTTGCTAGTTAGTTGCTGAGCTAGGGCTTAAACCACCCTCTGTCCAGACTTAGCACTGTGGGTGTGCAATTCCCACCCGTGGAGGACAATGTCTGAGTCTTTATGGAGGGATGGGAAGTTACAAGAGCCTGCACTGAAGGAGGAAAATTGTTCACTTTTGCTTATTTTGTAGCCAAAAGCTGGGTCTCTTGGATCGGGTTCGCCTTTCTAATCCTCGTGGTAGCAATACTAAAGGAAAGCTATTTACCCCTCTGAATGTAGATGCCATAGAAGAAAGTCCTTCTAAAGAACCAAAGCCTGTTGGCTTAAACAATAAAGAGCGTTTCCGCACCGCCTTCCGCATGAAAGCCTACGCTTTCTGGCAGAGCTCTGAAGGTAACGTCCGGATCCTTCTTCTCTCCCTGTCTCCTCTGCTTAGTCCACTCCTGAGCTCTCCAGCTTCCTCGCCTCTTCCTCTGCCCACTGAACAACTCTGGAGTCCACAGCACAGCTTCTTCCATCCCTTCCTGGGCCAATTTTTCGTTTTTCATTATTTATGTCCCCTGGCCTGGAGGTACCAGTGCCAGGTACCAGGTGCCATGGCTTATAGGCTCCTGAGCTGTGGGCTGTGTTCCTGGGCTAAGACACCTCCATTCTTTCCACAAACCTTTCCAACAAGCCTTGGGACACATCAGCACTGCTCTAAATGTGCTGGCAGGTCAAATGAAGGGCAAAGAGGGGCTAAAAGCAAACCATCTGGAGATGGGCACATTTGAGACCACTCCTGCTCATGACCCTCACCATGTTACTCAGTCCTCTCAAGGTCTCTTGGGAGTAGAAGGCTCAGAAATTGACCCTCCCAGGTCCCCAAGATAGAGACTGACAGAACAAGAGTCCCAGCTTAGCACTGTCCAATACTAGGGTTCCCACATGTGCCTGTTGCTGTTCAGAGAACTTCTTGGGGTGCGTACCCTCCCCTCACTTCCTTTCTATCCCTGCACAACAGCTGCTCACACCTCTGGCTTTGACGTCTTATAGATGTTAAGAAACGGTGTGTAATGTCACAACTGGAGGCTGCAATGTGGCTCTAAAAGTAGAAATAGGGACTCTGGGACTTAGGATGGGACTCAGCAATAGATCCCTGAGCCTTTCATTGGGCCATGGCCTGCTACTGATACACCTGCCACCCTCCTAGATGCTGCAACTGGTGATCCCATGGCAGAAGACAGAGGTTATGGGAATGACTTCCTCATTGAAGACATGATCCCCACCCTGAAAGCTGCCATCCGAGCTGTCAGGTAAGGGCTGTGTTCTCCACCTGTGAGCCTCCCAGCATCTGTCTTAACTGCCCCAGAACAAAGCTTAAACAACACTCTTGGGCTCTGTGGGGTGCAAGCAGCTCTCCTAGGCATCTTGAGTCAGGTCCCAAGGGTACTAAATATTCAATGAGAGATGCTCCTTCAAAATAGCATTTCCCACTTCAGCGAGGCATGCTGGGAGACTGTTTCTTATCTGGTTACAGAAATGTTCCCACAGCCTCCCAGCCTACATTAAACTGTCACACCCTTTTATGACTTTGACCAACATCTACTTTAAAGGATATGAGAGCAGAGGTTGTGTTGACATAGAGTTTTCTTACTTTAAACCATGTTACTCAAAATAGCTTGTCCTCTGCCTATATTCATCAATGTAGTTCTTTTGTGTTAGCATTTTGGCAAGATAATAAATCATCAACTTTTGTGTGTGTATGTATTGGAGGAAATCATAAGCCACCATGGTTATTTCTGATTTGCTTCAGAATTCTTAAAGAAAACTTTAAAAAGTAGGTTACTACTTAAACTTGATCAAGAAATGGGCATGCACTTACTTTGTAAGATTGACCAGAAATTCTAGAAACTAAGATGATTCTCCAAATCCCACCCATGTTATCTTCAACAAGATGCCCAATCTGATAGATCAGGGAAGCACAGCACTGTTATCGGACATGGACCTTAGCAAAGCCTTTGCGCTATTTGCTCATGGCAACATCATAAGTCATGTGATGGAACAGCTAGGTGAAAACACACCTCTTTGGATCCATACCTGGCTGCAGGGTCTCATCCAGGGAGAATCAGGTAGAGAATCTGCGTTGGCAGTGCTACAGAGAAGCTCCATGCTCTGGTCCATCTTCTTCTTCTTAGCCTCTTTCGCTGATGCCTCAATGCAGAGATTGGCTCACTTTTTCTGTAAAATGCCAGATAAATAACACACTTTAGGCTTTGTGTCTGTGAATCTGTTACAAGTACTTAGCTCACTGTGGTAATGCAAGAGCAGCTACAGATGGTTCATAAATGAATGGGTCTGGCTGAGTTCCAATGGATCTTTACTCTCATAAGTAGGCAAAGGAAAGATTTGGCCTGTGAGCCATAGTCTAGGCTTCCTACCTTAGGTGAAAGTAGACAAAGCAGGCTTATAAAATGGCACAAAGTCAGGAGGCACAGCAAGTAAATATGATGTCACAATCAGTATGCTAAAATGTGTTTAGGAACTGGAGTCATGTAGGTCAAAGAAAGTGGACTTTAACTGCACTGTTTAAAGACCCATGCCAGTGTGAGGCAGAAGGGTCTGGGGTGGGCCCAGGCCTCCTGCCATGAATTTTAGTTTTAGCATCTGATACTCAGCAGGAGTTGCCCTTAACACGGAATTCTTAAGGAGCACTCACCTTCAGGGTGACCTTGCTTTAGTTACTGGAAGATGGAGATGAGTGTTTGATTTCATCTGTTGGTTCTGAGTTCCTCCTCCTTCAAAGAAACCCAGAAAACTCAGAGAATAGAAACTTTCATAGAAGTTTAAAGCTATGAGGAGGAGGTACATCAACTGTCCTCAAATAAAAGCAGCATGGCAGTGACCAAGAGCACAGTCCTTACACATACAGGAGAGAGGATCTGAGGCCCAGCTCTGATGTCATGAGCTACCTGGGCCTGGGGAGATGTGAAAGTCCTCTGAGCCAGAGCTGCACCCTTTGTAAACTGATATAGTAGCAGATAGTATCCAAAATGCTGTGCTCAGTGTCTGGCCTGGAATGAAGGCTCAATAGATACCAGCTTCCATTAGCACTTGCAACAGAGATATACTGTGATTTTTGTCATTATCCAGAAAGGGCAAGCAGTCCTGGAGAGGTGCTAGGCAGGTGAACTATGAATGACTCAGGTGAGTAAACTCCCGCTCAGAGCCAGAAGTTTTTCCTCATCAAATTGTTCTCTCTTGTTTTCTCCACCAGCTCCTGAGTTTGCTGGCCTTGAACTGCATTTTCTTCACTCTCTGCTCACAATGTGTGAATATCTCTTCTTTGCCTTACAGAATTCTACAATTCCGTCTCTACAAAAAAAAGTTCAAGGAAACTCTGAGGCCTTATGATGTGAAGGATGTGATTGAGCAGTACTCTGCAGGACACCTTGACATGCTTTCCAGGATAAAGTACCTCCAGACGAGGTAAGGCATCTGAAGGGACTGTGCTCTCAGGCCACTTGAGAATCAAAGCCAAGAGAACCTCAGAGTGTAAGGTTAGGTTTAGGGTTAAGGTATTCAGAAATAATCCAAAGCACAGAGGAGAAGCTTTATGCATAGAAATGTTCCTCAAGCACTTTGGATGTCATGGCCAACAAGCCCCGGATCACACTGGATGTGAAACACTCTGACATTGCCAGGGCTCGGGGCAGCATCCTGGTCATGCCTGATCATTGCCTCTCTGCAGTGAGGCTTGGATATACCCAGCGAGACTCCGATCACTACACTGAGGCCAGCTGGCTAGTTCTCTTTTGCCCATGTTACAAAGCACTCAAATGCTATGTATAATAGTGAAAATACGAAATCATATTGAAGTTCAATTATTAATTGTAACTTGGAGTCTTCCATATACATATATTGTCTCTTAGAACCTTCCTTATGGGATATTTCATATATAACAGTTGTATACCCCTGATGAAGAAATAAACTAAGAAGGCCAAATACTAGCCTCAAATTACCCAGCTAGTAAGGTCAAGAACATAAAATAAATATAAATTAAATATAATTATAAATATAAATATATGGCCTGTAATGTGTCATTATATATGTATGTGTGTGTGTGTTTGTGTGTGTGTGTGTGTGTGTGTGTGTGTGTGTGTGTGTGTGCATTGCTTGTAATATCATCATAAGATCTACTGAATATGCTTTACCTAGACCTTGGGATATTTCTATTATATTATATAATACACATAGCTATATATATGCTATGCTTAAAAATTGTATCCACATGTTTACTCAGAAATATACATGACATGACCACAATGTCCTATATAGCAGATGTAGACCTGGAGAAAACCCGACACAATTGAACTTAACTGGAGTCCTTCCTAGGTTTCAGCCAAAGTCAGGTCTCACTGGAGGAGGGTCCTGCTGGGTTAACGGGAGCACCCTGCTGGAGGAATAGGAAGTTAATGATGCTGCCAGGTAGAGATACACTGATAACGACCTATCTGTGCTCTTACCTGGAAGACAGCCTCACCCCTCACAGTTGCAGGCACAGAATTGTTGCTCACTGCCTGTTGAACAAATGGATGTGTGAATGAGTTGTCAGTGCAGAATACTGTTATTTCTGCAAATACGGCTCACTGAGAGACAGAGGAAGTGGCATGCCAGGCCCCAAGAATATCAGCCAATTTAATGACCATGGAGTAGACTGTTACCCCGCCATTTTTTGGTATTTAACAGGAAAACGTTTTTCTAAGAGTTGTGATCAGAAGATGACTAGCCAGATGACTAAATGCAAATCCCAGCTTCACTAAGTATTACAGTGTGCCAGACTGGGAAGGACAATTTAGCAAGACACATCCGGTGTCAATAAACACATCTGATCTGGGTTTGCAGAGGGCAGACAGTGACCCATGAATGTTTCAGCCCTGCAGCACGGTATGGCACATTTCTCTCTGTTGACCCCAGCACATATAGGTAGCTGAAGTCTTGCACAGAAATGGACGCAGAATATGAGAGTGAGGTTTGGAAAATCCTTCTCATGGTTAGAGATGCCTGTGAAGCAGCAGGGACCAGCACAGCTGAAAATGGAACAGAGAAGCAGGCAATGAAAATTGCCATTACAGGATTTGGGGAGGGATAAAAGAAACGGAAGATGAGATAAGCTTGTGGCACACATCTGACATTTCCTGATGTAAGAAAGAGCCCTGTGTAGTTCTCTGCCGTCTCAGCAGTTTACCTGCTCCTGTCTCCCCGGGTTGAGAAAATACACTCAGTACTACAGGACAAAAAGGATGATCCTGTACTAACTTGTAACTTTTCTTCCTCTCCTCTCCTCTCCTCTCCTCTACTCTCCTCTCCTCTCCTCTCCTCTCCTCTCCTCTCCTCTCCTCTCCTCTCCTCTCCTCTCTTCTCTTCTCTTCTCTTCTCTTCTCTTGCTCTTCTCTTCCTCTTTTTCACATCTTTCATAATTAAAATTAAGAACTAAGAAAGAACAGAAAGGTTTGTTTTCCTGCTGGGCAAATTTTTATGCAATTTAATACTTCTTGTGTTTGTTTCTTACAGAATCGATATGATTTTCACCCCTGGACCTCCATCTACTCCAAAACATAAGAAGTCTCAGAAAGGGACCGCGTTCACCTATCCATCCCAGCAGTCTCCCAGGTAAGGCTTGTGAGCAGGGATTGACCAACCTCATGGAGCACAAAGCCTTGGATTGTCCCCGCCCCCAAACGGCATGGGTGTTTGAAGCTTGCCTCACATCATGGCCTTTGAAAGATTTCTGTACAAAAGACTTTCTACCTTTTTCCTCGACCAGGTGGTCTTTGAAAATAAAAATAGTTATACCGTTTTTCTCATGGTAAAGCAAGAGGAAGCTCATGATTCTTGTTAAGATAGGAAGAATCCATGTTAGCTGGCATTCCTGGTCAGCTGGTTTGCTGATGGATACCCCTTCCAGGACATAGCTGGGGAAAGAAACACATGGCAGGTGCCTGACGTTGTTAGAATCCAGGCAGCACTCTTACCTCCCCCAAAATGTGGCAACATTTTGAACAAGGAGGTATCCTTTGGAAAGTCTACCACTTGCTTTCATATCTCTTCATTCCCAAATATCTTTGAGAAAAACAAGAAAAGAATGTCAGGCTTATGGAGCATTATACACCTCCCTCTTATAAAAGAAGCAAGATTATCTGCATGTGATAGAAGGTCTCTCTGCCCTTCAGCCTCAGCCTTAAGAATGGAATAGGGAGTGAGGGGACCATGGAGACCTAGAAATCACAGCCCCAGGTACAGGCTGTAACTGTTACTCAGCCCGGGTGTTGCCCGGGGCACCCTCTGTTTCCAGATAGTCTGATTATTTAAGGACGCCCTCGGTATCCTGATATTTTAGACTCTTCTCCATTTTTGAGATGGCATTTTGAACTCTTTCAAAACCAGCCCAGGATGAAGAAAACACTGGTGGGCTACAAGTAGCACGTTTTTGGAATTTATCATCATTTAACACTGTGCAGCCAGAGACAGGAGACACAGTGGGAATAGTTAGTTATGAGATAGAAAAAACCATTTGCCAAGCAAGAACTCATTTGTGAATAGTTTAGAGTAATAACAAGGGCCCTTGAAACTTGCCAAATTCAGAGGATATAAAAATGGCCCAACTCATTGGAAGTCAGGCAGATGTTAACTATGCCTAGCCCAAGAGAAGACATAGCTCTCATCTGGCCACCACGCCCACCAGCATCATTTTCTGCATCATTTCCAGACTCAATAGTTTTTTTTTTCTAGTCTTAACAAAATGAGACAGGTGAAATACATAAGCCCATTAAATTTGAGAGCTCAAACTCTTTGCCCATCCTCACCCATGCTCAGTGGTGTGGTTCTCTTTCAGTCAGGAACTAAAAGCCAAAAGGGTTATACACTCTTGGCACTGTTGGGTGCTTTGACAACTTTAGTACAAATCAAAGTATCCTTATGTAGCCCACAGCAGTACTTGTCTTTAATCTCACCTACTGGGGTTGCTGGGGCAGAAGAATCATAAACCCAAGCTTGGGCAACTTAGTGGGACCCTATTTTTAAAATAACCTCTTCAATAATAGTTTGCTTCTTGGCTTCAAAGTAGCCTACAGTGGAGCTGAGTATGAAATTTATAGTACCAAAACCCAGAAAAAGTGGGCTTCCCTGACCCCCAGTGACCAGCATTGAGGGGGTCATTGCCAGCATGTATTAGTATGAGAATGAGCTTGGCAGATCTGTGGGCCATGATCTACCCAACCAAAATGATCCTGGAGAGCAGAAACAGATACAATGACCTCATAAAACTGTTGACTTTTTCTTAGGAATGAACCATTCGTAGCCAGATCATCCACAGCAGAAATGGAAGACCAAAGCATGATGGGAAAGTTTGTAAAAGTGGAAAGACAGGTAGGTCCTTTCTTTCCTCTGCTAGAGAACAAATGCACAGAATTTATTTCCAAGTGCCATTTGTCCACAGGTAGAGACAATGCTTGAGTAATAATGCTCACCATTCATAAAAGCATATGGGAACTAAATTCCTGACAGTCTTTCCTGCCTAAGTGATCCCACGCAAGCTAATTGTTCTGAGACTCATTTTTCCTTATCTGCATTATGGGGATTTTAATACTTCATAAAATTTTGAATTTAAGTGAGTTAATATAGATGAATTACCTAGAATATTAACTGACACAGTGAAGAGTCAACAGATGGTCACCACTATGATCACATTCCCCCTGGTGTCCTTTAAAAAATATTAGTTCACTGCCCCAATTTCACATGTCCTTAGTTCTCCTTTCCTCTGCATCTCTGTCAGCTGGTGGCCTCTGGGAAGTGGCCTGGGGAGGACAGGTAACAAGCGAAGTTCATTTGGGGTGGAAAGAGAAATCCACTCCCACGGCAGCCCTCATGGCTTCCTGCTTATATTCACTGTAAAGCAGTTTACACTCTAGCATCTCCTGCCTGATTTGCACTAGATGGATGTCTCTGCCAATGTCCTCTAGGATTCATATCAACCCTTTTATTTTATTCATAAACCAAAATTGGATCCATGAAGGAGAGATGAGAGAACACTGAAATAATTATTCTATTTGGGCATATCAAGAAAACTATCTCTCACTTAAAATTTTTAATTTCAACTCTCACTTCTTCCAGTTACTAACTCTGTGATGCTTGGCAAGTTACTTCACCTCTCTGTGCCACTGTTTGTTGACATGTGAAGCAAAGATGATGACACTGTCCGGCTCACAGGTTGTGAAAATTATAAGTCAACATATTGCACAGCAGAATCCAGTACCTCCTAGCTGCTTTCTGGATATCAGATACTATTATGGCTTAGATACCTTCTGCCACATCACCTGGTCCAGAGCTTTCCAAACTCATTTGCCAAGTTACATGAGTCCCCTGCCTGATTGGTGAACTAGGCATTTTCAGAGAAAGAATCTCTCTCTCTCTCTCTCTCTCTCTCTCTCTCTCTCTCTCTCTCTCTCTCTCTCTCTCTCTCTCACACACACACACACACACACACACACACGCACACACATTTTCAAGCACAATGCACACTTGTATACTTACATACACAAAAATCCAGAGGAACTTCCAGTTAAGGCAGTGAAGATCCAGGAAACTTCTGCCATTGCTCAAGGGTATGAGAAGGGCCTCCAGTTACCAGAAGCCCCATTCCAGCTCACCATAGCCCTGTATCTCCAAGGCTAATGTCACCATGTAGGAAAAACCCACTAATACCACATACTTCTGCGAAAATATTGGCAAATCAAGAACCCCCATTCCCTGGGGTAGTGTCAGCAAGGCCACCTCCTGAACTAGTGGACAAGAAGACCAGTAACAAGCACCACCAAAGCATCTCTGTGCCAGGCTTTGCCTCCCCGAAAGCTCTTGCTTAGGTTGCTTAGGTTGACTGACAGTAGTACACAAGGAGCAACCAAAATATACAGTGAGTATTTAAATTTTAAAAATCTCATACAGTATGGGACACATTGCCTTTAAACCCTTTGATATGCCCACATTCATACTGACACACTGACGTCATCAGTTTGGCCCTTTCTGAAGCAGTTCTCAAGGCCCTCTGTGGTGTGCTATATAAAGTGTGATCAAAAGCAGAGTGCTGATGTTGTGTGCCCTCCGATGGAAAGGCAAGTGGGTAAAAACATCACAGTGCACCCTCACCTTGTTTACCAGCTCTGGCATTGTGCCACCATCTGGCCCTAACCCAAAGCCAAAGTGACCACGGAAGAGAAACGTTTTGAATCAATTCAGTTCAACTGCAAATAATGGCACAACTAAAAATACTCACAGAAGATGACTGCTGGAACTGCTTCAGATAATGGCAAAAAGATGGGATAAGTGTGCTCAGCATGAGAGGAGAAGTTTGAGGGAAATTAATTGGATTGTTTCTTTTACTATAACAAAACTGGCTTTTTAAAAAAAATTGCACTATTCACTGTATTTTTGGTCAACCCTTGTATATTCTGGGCTTGCTAGTAGGAGGCAAAAAAAATAAGTTATTAGGGGCTGGGGATTTAGCTCAGCGGCATAAGCACCTGCCTTGCAAGCAGGCAGTCGTGAGTTCGATCCCCGGTACTGATAAAAATGAAAAAGACAAAAAAAAAATTATTAGTAGCTGGTATTATTATTATTAAAAACTGTAAGGCTTCTCCTCTGTTCTGAATTATAAATAACTACAGATTTCCTCTCAACCAGTACCGACACCCCACACTCCATGAGAGACCAGTGATTCCCAGGCCCTTGTCTCTTCCAGGTGCATGACATGGGGAAGAAGTTGGACTTCCTGGTGGACATGCACATGCAGCATATGGAACGGCTGCAGGTTCAGGTTGCGGAGTTCTACCCCGCCAAGGAGACCTGCTTGCCAGCTGCAGGGGAGAAGAAGGAGGACAGCAGGTATTCGGACTTGAAAACCGTCATCTGCAACTACTCTGAGGCAGGGTCCCCTGACCCTCCCTACAGCTTTGACCAGGTGCCCATCGACAAGGTTGGCCCCTATGGGTTCTTTGCACACGACCCTGTGAACTTGCCCAGAGGGGGACCCAGTTCTGCCAAGATGCAGACCCTTCCTTCTTCTGCAAGCTCGTATGCAGAAAGACCCACCGTCCTGCCTATCTTGACTCTTCTGGACTCCCGAGTGAGCTTCCACTCCCAGGCTGAACTGCATGGCCCATATTCGGACCACATCTCACCACGGCAGAGACGCAGCCTCACGCGGGACAGTGACACACCTCTGTCCCTGATGTCGGTCAACCACGAGGAGCTGGAGCGGTCTCCGAGTGGCTTCAGCATCTCCCAGGATAGAGATGATTATGCATTTGGCCCCAGTGGTGGGTCGAGCTGGATGAGGGAGAAGCGCTACCTTGCAGAGGGTGAGACAGACACAGACACAGACCCCTTCACACCCAGTGGGTCCATGCCTCTGTCGTCCACAGGGGACGGGATTTCTGATTCCATATGGACCCCTTCCAACAAGCCCACTTAAAGGGGTCACTGGCTGACTCCTTGTGATGTACACAGACTTTGTATAGCTCCCTGACTCACACCCAACGCATACAGCGAGGACACCAGTAGCTGCATCGGATGCATGCGTGTGCACAGTGGCCCCGGCCAGCAGGGGTTCTCACGCCTTCTTCCTCCCCAAGTCACCACAACGAAGCCACTTCCTTTCAGCATGGTTTGCATGACTTGACACAATATAAGTGGTACCACTAGTCTCCTCTAGAATACACATTAATCTACTGTTCTTGCTTTCAGTCATGATGGGACCAGTACAGGGAGAGATTACTGATGAGCTGTGCTATGTTTCTTTGGTTGACTGGTTGGGGTTTTGGTTTGGTAAGCAGGGAATGTAGTTTAAGTTACTTCTAGGATTACTGCCCCTTGTGTAAAATACTCCAGGAATTAACTATTTTCTAAAGCAAAGAAATAATTTTCTCAACAAGAACACATTGCATCCCAATGAGGCTGCCTACCGAGCACACCTGAGGGAAGGAACAAGATAGCCATTAAGACTCCAAAATCAAGAATTTAAAAATTATTTTCTTAAGGAAGAGCCAACAAAATCATTTAGAAATTCTTGAAGGGACTCCACATACTCTGCCATTGTTCAGTATTGTGTCTCTATTCCCCCATCTGTAAAAGGCATTGATAATTCCTATTGTAGCATTTCACATGTGTTATGAACTAGTGGAGAGAAACACACACACACATCCCACAGACACAAACACAGAAATCAAGGTAGTTCCCAATTTATGTGACCAAAGATAGTGAAATTTACTAAAGGCAGGGTGGTTCTCTGAGCCGGAGCCAAGTCTGGTGTCTCCAACTCATGTTGCTACCCATGTTATTAAAATGAAAAATATCCATGCAAAGCAAAATTTAGAATCAGGAGGGCATAAGCAGAAAGTATCTTTTCCAAGTTCTCATTCTTAAAAGTGATAAATCTCAGGCTCAGGTTTAGTGACATACCTAGGGCCACTCCACAGTGCCATGAGAGCCAGGACTCAACACTCCTGCCTGCTGACTCCTCCGCCTGGCTTCCTTTCAGGACATCATTCTGCCATTTGCATCCTGGGACCCAGCAGTGAAGCCAAGATTCTGGCACTCTGTGTTGTGTGGGAAGAAATCCCCATAGTTCTTCCTGCATGAGAGGACATCTGCTGTTATTGCAAAGCCTGCATCCTTGCTACATTGCATTTGGGATACAGAAAAAAAAAAAAAAAACAGTAATACAAGCAAGGTATAGTTATCAATATGCAAATAGGCCAAATTTCCCAAACTGTCCAATCTTACTTTTGCCAGTGGAAACACTGACACTGCACATAATTGTAAGATTTTTCTGAAGCTTAAGCAGGCGTGTGAAGTCACTGTTCTGTCCAAGTGTCAGGCACAAGCCTCACTGTAGTCTCTTAGGAGATGTTGTCATTCTCTGAAAACTGATGGGAACGGCTTTTCTGCAGTTCCTAAATGATGACACCATACTGCTACTCTCACACTCCTTCTATGATCTCAAGCCCTAGTTAATGATGGTTGCCATGGTCACCCTCAAGATGATCAAAACAACCTAATCAAATATCTGCATACCACTGCAATCAAGGTTCTGCCTAATGGTTTTGTGAAGAGCTGTAATCACCATGGCAAACATCTAGTTGATGGTTTCATCAGTGACCTGTCCTGAGTTGGAGAGAGATTTCTCACAAGTTGGTTCTTTTTAATTCACACACCAGTGGGTCTTGTAAAAAAAGCTAAGAATATAGTACTCATGAAGGCTTGGGCCCTGACTTTGGAAACTTAAACCAAACCCTTACGTCTCTGAACGAGGGCTGCCACTGTAAATGACAGAAAGGAGTTTTATGTGGAGGATCTCATGAGTGGATGGGTATTGAGCCTGAAGTCCAAAACAGGAAGCATGCAAGAGTCATTACACACATTGGACAAGAAGGCCCTCCCCCATGGTTTTCCACATGACCTTTCAGGAACTGGAAAGTCATTTTTCGTCATTCACCACTTTCCTCAGTATGGCCTCACTACTGCCATTGGGGCTATATCCTAAGAAACCCTGTGTCTTTCTTAGGGGCCTGGGTCTAGGCTCTGGTCTTCCTGGGCTCTTTAACCAAAAATCACTGTGCTATCTATCTTACATGTCCCCATGTTGTTGTTTATGTATTTAAATTACTAAAACAAAAACAAAAAAGTAAACAAATCAAAATCTGCACATACATACCAGTTATTCTAACATATTAATATTTTTGTAGAATCCAATATCATCTGTGTTTTACAAATAGATTCCTATTTCAGAACTTCAGTAAAATTCTTGCTTAAGAGTGAGATCTTATTCCCATGCTGAAATGTTTGCTGTAGACCCAAAATTAGATATACTACCTTAGCTTCTATTAATAACCTGCTGAGAATGGAGCTTGTAATATTTCTCAAACTATAGGGAAGACATCAAGATTTTCTGCTGATTACAAGGTTAGAACAGCAGGAATCAGATCTGTGTTGATTCTCATTGTCTAGTAAGTTCAGACAAAATTCTTAGCTCATGAATGGATGATACGAAACTTAGGAGCTTTTTTCCCATCTAAGAAAACAAAAAGAAAAACGTGTTCTTTTGGAATAATTCTGCCTTAATGTTTATTCTTTTCCTCAAAAACTACATTCTGGAAAAACAAACCAAACACACTCAAGTTGCCTGCTTACCAACCTGACTGGTACCAAAGAAGCACAAATTCAGATTCTGAGAGTCAACATGAGCAATGGAGAGAAACTGTGTATGCTTCTACAAAACTTCTCTTTTCAGACAAAGAAGCCACGTGATGGATGAATCCAACAGAACAGACCCCAACAGTGTGCCCCAGGTTTACCGTGTATACTGGGGGTTCCACAGCTTCCCAAGATATCGTTGCAGTGGTGGCCAAAACCCACTGTAATACTGATAAATTAATTATATTATAAAAATAGGAATGGTTTTTTCAGGTAAAACTGTGATTCCACTATGCTGGTATATATCTGTTTTTTGTGTGCTTTGACATAAAAAATGACATATGACATAAAAAGTTTAAGAGGTGGGGAAAGGGTGTCACTCAGTGTAGAGTAGTTGCCTAGTGTGTATGAGGTTCTGGGTTCTGTCCTCAGCACCAGAGAAATTAATAAATCAGTAATCTGGGGCTCAGGATACAGCTCAGTGGAAGAGTATTTATGAGACCCTGGGTTTAATTCCCTAGGTCCACCCCCAAATTAAAAAGTCATATTTTAACAAGATAAAAATGAATGAGATAAATCAACTTATTAATGTTAGGAAAATGGTGACCTTGTGGACTGAGAAAAACTATTTGAGATCAAGTATGAGTTCTTAACCATCAAATGCCAGCACACAAGCAAGCACGAAAAGTTTAAGAAAGAAATTTTGGAGGGCTGGCTGTAGTGGCACACATCCATAATCCTACCACTCAGGACCTGAGGCAAGAAGCTCAGCACAAGCTCAAGGCCAGCATGGGCTACAATGAGTTCAAGGCCAGACTGAACTACATAGCAAGACCCTGTCTCAAAAATACAATAAATAAAATAAATAAATAAATAAATAAAGGAACATTAAAGGAAAAGAAAAACAATATATACCAAACTAAGAAAATTCTATGTTGTTTCTTAGAACTAAGAACTCACAGTCATTAGACATGACACTTGTATTATGAAGTCCTAGTTTCCATAAAAACATAGAAAACTAGAAAACTCCAAAGTCTATAGGTTGAAACTAACTAATTAATCAATATTTAGGCATCCTCTGCCTATCTGATTCTGCACGGCATTTCCCAACACTGTAATACAGTAATTACTTGTAGAAAAAATATAACAAGATTTACTCAAAATTTTCTAAAACCATATTCATAATTCCATGGTTCTCTAATGACACTATAATAAAGAAAATTCATTTGTTTATTCATTTGCTAAGATTTCTTAAACTCCAGTATTTGCCCGAAACCACGCAACAGGAATTCGGTGATTAGAAAGTCACAGATTCTGCCATCAGAAACTATAAATCTAGTGTTAGAGGTCCCACAGATGTCAAAGGTCCCCTCAACCTATGTCAGTGAGGATGAGAAACACTATTTCATCCTATGAGTAGCTCCTCCAACAGGAATTATTCTCAGCTTGGAAGCATCTGAGGATTTAACTCTGAAGACAGTGAGAACAAAAACATTTGCATCAAAATGATGGTGATCCCATTACCCCAGAGAAGGCTGAAGGGGTTAAATGATGACTTTGAGTTTGGTTTCTTGTGTTGAACTTTATAGTTTCCATGCCAGAAGGCAGTATTTGAAAAAGGTCCTTAGATAAATCAGCCTTCTCCTCTCTAAATTCCTGCCAAGATGGAGGCCAGACAAAAAGAGTTCTACTTCCTCATACTAATCAAGAGAAGCTGTGGTAAAGGTCATGTCACAAAATCTGTTTGAAAAGAAAAAGGCCACTCTGCCCGTGAGAACCTAGATCAACTTCTTTGGAGTCAAGAGAAGAAATTTGTTTAGGTTCTAAGAAGTCAACTGCGCTTCCAAAAGTGCTGACAAACATACCCTGAACCCCCCCAAACCTTTGCCATCTGGAAAATGCCACAGAGCTGCTCGTCAGTTGACATTAATGTCCAAGGTACCTAAGACCACAAAGATTTTCTTTGTTTTCTGAGCCCTGGGACATCATCAGGATTTTGCTTTCACTTATGCTGGGAAGCTTGCTCATTTCAGGATGAACTTTTTAAAACTAAACCCTTAGCATTGACTGTGCTTGGGTTACTGACATTACACTTTTTAAATCAGAACTGCCTCTCCAGCAAAGTAGTAGTTAGTAACTCAGATGATCATGTTAGAGGCAAGGTTATATGTACATCTTTTGTGGGTTTTGTAAATTAGTGTGGTAATATCAAAGAGACAGAAAAGCTCTGATGATATGGACAAAAATTTTCACTTGGGGACTTTAAAACGCATTTGACTCTTCTGGCCTGTTTTGAATTTCCAGTGAGACCATCTATATATAAAGCCCCTGGTATAGCTACTGCACCATAATCAGGACTATTTTTCATGTTCTTGTTCTATGATATGTGTCAATTCCACTGCCCTATGCTGATGTTATTTATTAACTCTAGATTTACACCAGAAAATATTTTTCAGGAAAAAAAAAAGAATAATTGAGATATGATTCCAACTATTATATGACAAAATCAAGCATTTCCACCACTAAAAATGATTTTTTCCAACAATCTACAGAAGAAGACTACCCCAGTGAAGAAAGCAGGAAGGTTGGATCCCAGTGGTGGAGCTGTGGAAGTCCCATTTGACATAACCATTGTTCTCTCAAAGGATGGTTCCTGGGAGGTAAAGCCAAACAGTAGTGATGAAACAGGAAAGAATTCATGTCTTCACAAGTCAAGCTTTGCTGATAGTCTCTCTAGGGCAATATACTTCTGTCCATTAACAGCCTCAAACATTCCTGTTGAAAAATCGTGACTAGTATTCTGGCAGTATTACATATGGAAGGAGACATGATTTCATAGATTCTGAGAATGCTCCCAGCAAAAGGACACCTTGCTTGTCCTGAAGAGTCACTTCTTTTAAATGAGGGAGCAGAGGCTCAGAGTGCGGGGAATCACAGCCGTCTCACAGTGATGAAATAAGCCACTGAGTAGCAGAGTAAACCTAGAGCCCAGATTGCTTGGTCCAAATGCACAACATAGATGTTACTGTGAAGCTCAGAAAATGAAAAGCAAAACCTCTCCAGGCCACTCAAAAAACTGCTAAGCCAGACCTATTTTGAAGAGTCTTTCCATCTCTAAGATTTGATTGATGCTGCTATGTCATGGAAATGATACTGGTCCTTCTCCTAAACAGTTGCTGCTTTCAAAAGCCCTAACAGAAACCTGCAGATTCTGGGTGCCTTTGAAAAAAGAAATTCCTTGACCATGGACACTTTTACTCTCCACTTCTCCTGTCACTCCTACTTTGGCCCTTCCTTGTCCAGCCAAGCTTGGACTGGTTCACTGATGTGGCCCATCACTTAGAACCATTCAGCTCCTGACTCCCCCCTCAGGCTATATTCTGATCTCTACATCAGTTCAACAAGATTATTTAAGAAAATTGGATATTATTTTGGGGCAATTCATATTACTGAACTTATAGATCCTACCAAAAATGTCCCTTATCACAGGGATCTCTGAGCACAGCCCAGCCCTGCTCACTTTGTTCCAGAGAATCCCCAAATTATCCAAGTACTCTAGAGCTTTCTTCAAAAGCTACAAAGAGGAAAACAAGATTCAACTTCAAACATCTCATGTTTTTGTAACTAGGGAAGCAAAAGACCTCTTTGACTCAAATGAAGCTTCCCATAGGTGATTTCCACTTGTATTTTAGAGTTCTCCACAATTTGCCAGAACTCCAAAGAATTCCTTCTTAAACTAGTGTTACGGTCAGTTTCAACTGAAAGCCCCTAAGAGAGTCAAAAAGAAAGGTGGTCAAATTCTGAGATGGCAATAGTCTACCCAGTAATTTTAGAAACTCTCATTCTACATATGTCTTTTTCCTTCAAATAGCACTGTTCTGGGATTAAAACAAATTTCAAGGGTAAATAATGAGGTCTATACAAGAGCAGCCTGAAAATGGTTTACAATTAATCATTCAAGAGCCAAGCGAGTGCTTAAGAATATATTTGTGATTCCTCTTACATTTGTCAAATGGGCTGGAGTTTGAAACCTAAAAAGTAATGAAACTGACAGCCTGTTTCATCTCAATGTTCCATTCTGTTCCTCATCTACAAGATGGGGGTCAGGGAAGGGGAGAGAAACTTATCCTAAGCTTTCTTTGTGAGTGGCATATGACATTATACTGTTCACTCTTGACTGTTCTATCTTCATTGCAAACCCATGAAGGAGATATCAGTGTCTGTATCTCAGAATTGAAAGTGAAAAGGTTGCACACTGCAGGAGGAAGAGCTAGTTTTTTAACCAAAATCTATGTACCTAGAAGCTTATTCTGTGCTTTAAGCCACACAGGTCAGTAGACACATTCCAAAATCATGCCCTGTGTTTCCCAGTGTGTGGCCTTCCCCCGTCCCATTAGCTTTACACAGTTCTGAATTTCTGGAGATAAGAAGGATGTCCAGGTCTGCTGGCTATTGTACTGGGCTACTGAGAGAGTGGCTTCACAATTTCTCTGTCAATGGCAGAAAATGATGCCACATAAATTATTCACTTGGTTCATATTGGAATCTATTAGCTCTTGAAGTTTAGTGGTTGCAGATAATCCCACAGATGCCCTTTATTCTCTGTCCCCAAGGATCCTCTGTCATAACTTTTAACCAAACTAGATCAGATGTCTCCAAGTCTCTGGTGGCTGTGGTCTTTTGTCTCTACACTGAGCGTTCGTTTCAGGGCTTTGAAATTCTGCAGAAACAGCTTAGTCTTCATTAGTGTTCTCTGGGAGGTCAAAGGCTCAGAATAATTGTGTCTTTCTTTCTCAATATTAAAAGATCAATGGAAACTAACCAGATCCGGTAATGGAGCACTTCCTCGCTCCTCTGAATACATTTCCAAGGGACAGAGATGAGCTCTGCTCTCCCATGTCCCTCTGAGGGTTGAGTACAAGTGGTGGACAAGTCCAAGATATGGAGCCACCCTTCTGTCCAGAAGCAGACATTTTGCTGCTGGAGAGGTAAAGTAGGCCTGTCCATATCCTGGAAAATCACCTTAGCCAGACAGATGACATTCATCCATTTGTCAATCCTTCCCTGTTTTAAAGAGAAAAATGATCTCCATCTTGCTTCAGATGGGATAGTACTGTCTTTCCCCATTTTTCTTATGTAGCAACGATGGAAAATGCAAATCACTGAAGAACAAATGGATGTTTTCAGTGACGTGAGCCTGTCGTACTTGATTTTGGGTTGTATTTTCTTTAACCCCTTTTTACGGCATAGAATTCTGGTGCCTTGCTCCCTGAATTTGTCTCCATGCTAAGAGTAGGCTTTCTTCACATTCTGGCTTACACAGGAACACAACTATTCCACAAGTGGCCTTTAGTGCTCTTTATAATATGATTTCCTGTAATTTTTAAACTGTATGTGTAATTTATATTCTGGCTCTGTCCAATATTTGAACAACTTTAATAGGTTGATTTCCATATATATTATGCAAATAATTCTTACCTGATTTTTTATGTTCTATCTTAAATAAAATACTGCACCACTTATTAATAAATAGATGTTTCAATGATTATGTGGAGGAATTTCATTTGCTTTAAAACAGCTTTATGAAATTATATTCTTTAGTATAAGTAATACTGGCTGCTGCAACAGAAAAACTTACAAATGTCACTGACCTTACACAATGAATGTATATTCCTTGCTCAAATCACAGTACAGTGCAGATTACCTAACTGTCAAAAAGTGATGCTTGGATTTGTCATGGTCTGCGTCATGCTGGGTCCTCCACTTTAGGCATAGAGCCAGACCAGGAAGAAGAATACAAAAAAGTCACCCCAGTTCTAACATCCTTGAATTCGAAGTGACTCATTATTTCTATTCATATTCTCATTGGCCAAACTCAGTCACATGATGTAGAAAACTTGTGAGGGATGCTGGGAAATGTAGTCTCAATGAATGCTTTAGATATATTGAACATGCACTTCTTTTCTCGTCACAGGGATATATGGTTGATCCTGCTGATTTCTTAATAATATAAAATGGTGACAAGATCTAATAAAGTGTAAGTGCCCAAGGAATAAAATCAGTAAAATTGTAAGTTCCTCCTCTGAGTCACTAGAGTTACAGGTATACATGTGGCATCAATTTAATTTCTGGAGCTATCTTTCTACTGGTAGTAAAAACTTTCAAGTGCATCAACCAAGAACATATCTGGAGTATTTCATTATTATGATTTGGGTTCTTTATAAGCTAGTTTTATCTCCTCATCATATGAATGCTGGTTGTAATCTTTGTTTGTCCCCCCACCCTTCTAAAACTCAATTCAGTTCAGCTAAAAACATTGTGTTTACCCATAAAATCTTAATTAGAAATGTACTAAACACCATTGGTACGGTGTATCACAATGCAACAGTGAAAATACACTGACTCAGGTCATTTCAATTCTGCGGGAAGTGTGCATATTGATATAATCAGGTACCATGAAAACACAAAGAGAGGCATTGGTTCATGTTAGAGGTATCAGCGGAGGCCTCTTACAGAAAGTGAGGAATGAACTGAGTATTTAGTGCTCCAAAGAAAGGAGTGTGGAAGAGAGGCCTGACAGGAACTGGGACGAGGAGGGGGAAAGTCCCAGAGGCATGAGACAAGATTGGCTTTATTTAAAAGAAAATTGCCTTCCTACATGCTTCTTGTCGTGGTATTCACAGTTTGTAGCAGAAAGTTCAGTGGTGTTTTATCCCTGGAGAAATAGGGACTGTAAAAACGCTAGCAAGCTTCAAATTAAGAAAGGGAGAAGGAGCCTCATCCAGACATACAAGGCCCTGGAGGTGCACTGTGTCTTTTCGAATTTTCTGTCCTTAAATCAAGATTATATATCAGTGGAGAATCTCTTATGGAGGTCATGGCCTGAAATTGTACCGTCCCTTCTGACCTCTGCCTCCCTTTCCTGTCATTTTTACAGTGCACTTTCAGAATTTTACCTTAAGAGGAGCAAAGCAGTCCCTTCCTAGTTAGAGACTGGCAAGATTCTCCCAGCCTTTGGTCCAGTTCATGTCACTGGTAGAAAAAGCTGCAGTCTTTCTCCTCTCAGTAACAAATGTCATTATCCCTGGAGCTACCCGCCTACACCTCCAGGTTTCCTCCCCACCCAGGTCCCCAGCCAGATGCTTCAGCCTTGAACCCTCCACCCCCTTCGTGGCACACAGGCCCTGGTTTCTACCATGTTGCTCTCTCCAAAGTCCTCTTCTTGCCACCATGGCTCCTTCCTAGTCTCTCAAATTGTCTCTCTGATTCTGGTCTCTTCCATTCTAATCCATCCCCGAAGCACTGCGACACAAGGGTCTTTAGAAACAAAGAATCCAGTGATAATGCTTCAGCATTTAATCCTTTCAGGAGCCTAAATCCCAACTATGATTCTGGACACAAAGGAAAATTCTCTAAGTCTCAGTGTTCCCATCTGCAAAGTGGGGCTAAAAATAGTTCCAAACTGAGAAGGTTTACTGTGAAGATTCAATGAGACAGTCAGGAAAAGACCTAGTAAAATGTCTACTGTGTACATAAACATTAGCTATTATTCTTATGTCTAACAGAATTGAGCTTGTTAGAGGAGAAAGTTTGGGTCCAGAGATGGAGCACCTCAGTCCACAGTCACACAGCTAGTAAGTGGTAGAACCAAAATTCATATGCAAAGAGTCTGACTCAGAGGCTTTGATTTTTAACTTCTAACTCATTAGGACCTTTTATTTTGAGTAAGGCTGCCTGTTAACTAGGAAGGGGTACAGATTTGACTGCAGCTAATTTAATTAAGTGTGTGTCTGCTCACTCAGCTTCTTCCCCAAATGCTTTGGCAGCTGCCGAACAGTAGGTGCCTGCGTTAGAGAACACGCGAAAAATCAGTCCTGCTCACCACTGAGACATGGAGAGGTCCGCAGATTTCTTACAAAGTTTTGGTTCAGACTTAGGCAAATCAACCTAAGAGGGTAAAATAGGAAGTAGGGTGTGGCAAAGCTGACTGAGAATATAAGCAGGACCTGTTAATTACAAGGTCCCAGGACAGCCCCAAATAATTCCCATGGTTCATGAGTTCCCTTATCCCTTCATTTCTCACCTTTTAAAAATTTCTTCCTTTTTTTAAAGACAGGGTCTTGCTATGTAGTTCGGGCTGATCTTAAACTCACAGTGTAGCCCAGGCTGACCTTGAACTCACAGCAGCTTCCTGTCGCAGCCTTCCATGAGCTGAGATTATAGGTGTGTGCCACATCAAATAAACCTTTGGCATCGTTTTTGGCTTCTCTCCTCCAGTTCTTTATTGGAGGCAAGAAGGGCCTGGACTAAGTTAACCGGTGAGCCATTTCTAAAAGAACTGCACAGTAACAAAGTCATAGCTCACCAAAGCTTGTAACAGCAGGTAGCCTGTGCACACCCAGCCCTGCAAAGCCAGCACTCGATGAGTGGATCCTTAGGAGCAGCTGGGCTCACTTCTAGTTAGATCCTTCTGAGAACACGTGTACGAACTTCCCCAACTGGAAACAAGAAGCTGGGGCACTTGTCCACAGACTTCTGCTCTCTGTTAGTGGCCATGATAGGGTCATCAGTCCCCACATTGTCAGGTTTCCTTCAATGATAGATGAGCAAACTCCAAGATGCAAAAGTCCTTAGGTTGAGAAGCTAGGAGACCTAGGCTGCAGAGCTGGGAACTGTCCACACGCTGAGAACCATATGCTGCACTGGCAGGCAGCTCAAAGGTGGGCAGAAGGTCTGGGACAGGGGTGACCTGCACTTAGCGAAATAAGCCCCTCTTAAAATCCTACATATACGAAGGTAAGCAAAAACCCAATCAAAGTGCCACGCCTTCCTCTGTGAATCAGAGGACAAGGTTAGCCAGTGTTAGGTAAGCTGATGATACTGCCCATGGACACCACACATTATGGAGCAGTACCTGTAGCTTTTTGAAACCAGGACAGAACAACACCACTCTTTTCCCAGAAGGCATTCAATCAATTTCAAGGTCTGTTACTATCATCACAAAAGACAACAGCTGATTCTGCAGTTAAAGGAAGATCGCCCAGTTTACAAACATCTATTCCTCCCCCAACAAAACTTGGACACCCCAAGTCTCAGGTACCTGCATGACACACAGAGACAGAACCGGGAAAATTATACCCCTGAGAAAATCCCTTTCCATCTGCACAAATGAACCAAAAGCCCATTCATAACCTCAAGTTCCAGATACTCCTGGGAATCAGTTATTGTTCCTAACAATGTCATCTTCCAACAATAGGCGTGGGCATCAAGTTAACCAGAGACCCAGTAATTTCCTTACACTGAGGACGTGTAAGGTGTCTCCCCTGAGAAAAGTTCAATTATCCCGGGTCTTATCCCCACATCAGATATGAAAACATTCCCAACAATCTCTCTTCTGATTCTGGACAGGCCAGGGCAGGGTAGGGACAGTCAGTAGAGGAAAGAAGAGTAAAGTGGAAGTGAGAGAACTAATAGAGGTCACATCACAAAAGGCCTCATCAGCCATGGGGAGGGTATTCTGGTTTATTCTAAGTCAGAAATGGGCTTTGAGTCATTGCAAGGGTTTGAGTGATGGGGCAACAAGATCTTATTTATGTTTAAAAAATGTCTTTTGTAGATGTTGTATTGGTAGTGCACTAAATGAGATAAGGACAGAAGCAGGGAAATTAATCAGGAGCAGTACCATATTGGGGAGGACCCACAGGAAAAGCCAGAGTGACTTAGACCAGAGCAGTGGCCATGGAAGTGGTAGAGTTTGCAACCTAGATATGTTAAAGAACAGAAATGGTAGGATTCACTGATGGAGAAGGTGAGAAGTGTGAAAGAAGGAGAATCTAGGCTGATTCTAGGCAGAGTTTTATTTGAATAAGTGACACTGTTGATAGACCATGGAAGGGGCAGAGCATGAGTTGGTTTTGTTCTGTGAAATGTGAAACATATGTGACATGTTCGGTGCAAATACCGAGTAGGTAGTTGTGCGTGCAGTTCAGGAGACGGTTCAGGAGGAAGATACCTTTACACGTGTATCTGGAGCATTTGTAGCATCTGCATCTATATTTGTATCTGCACCTACCAATGAAAGTTCTTCTAAATAAGATTTAAAACCAGAGACAGAGTGAAATCACCCACTGAACAGGCTTGGAGAGAGCAGAGAGCTACCCAAGGACTGAGCCTTGCAGGATCAAGAGGGCAGGGAAGGGAGAAGGAAAGGGAAAAGGAGGCTGGACAGGAGCTTCTGATAAAGCAGGAGGAAAGTAAGGAGAGGGTGACACTGAGGACACCAGGTTCAGAAAGCATCCAAGAAGTAACAAGTAATGGCACAAGTGCTGCTGAGAGGTCGCATGAGGGAAAGCGTCAGCCATAGCAAGTCCAGGTGACAGTGGCCAAAGCAGTGTTCGTGGAGTGCTAGTGTCACCTAAGATGGGAGTGGCTTGAGAGAGAAACTGGGGCATTGAGTAGAGACAACTCATCCAGAAGCTTCCACCAAAAAGGAAAAGAAAGAAGTGGGGAAGGAGCTATAAGGGAAGGCAGGACACGTGGAGTTTAATCTTTGTTTTCAGGGGGAAAGTATTAGCTGGGGTGCTCCTGAAAACGAGCTGGTGGTGAGAGAGAAATTGTTGCTGCAAGAGATGGTGGGGTGCTCACAAGGAGCCCAGTTTTCTCATGTTTAGAAACAAGAAAAATGGCAGCATAGAGAGCTCCCATCTGCAGCAGGGAGGGTGTGCATGGGTTGAGGCATAGGAAACCCTCTTGACTGCATTTTCTCAGGCCAGGTCATTAGCAAGAAAGAGGTTTGTCAGAGGAAGTCCTGGAGGAGGAGAGTGGTTAGGTTCCTTCAAGAGCTTCGGAATTTGGTTTTATAGATCAGATACAATCTGTAGTACAGAAAGAATGGTCATGAAGGAGAATCCTCCATACAGCTCCTTAGGAGAGGAAAGGCAGGACGGGCAGGCAGTCACTCAGCAGAGAACTTTGGTCAGTTAGGAGCCAGGACAGCAGACAGTAGTCAAGAGACAATAAGGTTTTCTCAGAAAAGAACGGCAAGGCACACTCAGCAGGCCCAGACTTTCAGGG